AGGTTGAAGCACACTCAGATGCAGAGACGGGAACATTATCGGCGTCATGTAATGTAACAATGTCACTGCCAGGGTCAGGCGAAATGGCATGCCAAAACTTTTTACGGTTAGTCAGTAAAAGTGAAGACTGGTCGGTGGAAAAATATTTCTTTTTCGCTTCGCTAATCGCAAGACAGTAAGATTTTAAGCAGTCTTTATGCATAGACCATGACTTAGAAGATGATAACCTTTTAGCTGAAGCATATAACCTTTTCTTTTTATTTCTGAGCAATCTAAGCGATTTATTAAACCATGGGTTAGATTTGTCGTTAGAGATTGTTATTAGTGGAACATATTTATCTATGAGGAGCGCTATAATGTTTCTAAAGGAAGTCCAGTTATCCTGAACAGACCTGTTGGTGAATGAGGGAAGAAATGTATTGTGTAGGAAGACATCAAGTTCAGAGTTCATTAGATCGTAATTTGCCTAGCTATTATCCCTGATTACCTTGCGGTGAACACCTGTAAATTTCAGAGGAATATCAATTAAAAACTGAAGAAGGTTGTGATTGCTAAAACCATCTAATTGCACAATTGTACCTATGGTATGTGGCTCTGTTGTCAGAATAAGATCTAAAATATTAGTATCGCGAGGGGGCTCTGAGACAAGCTGGGTGAAATTAAAATGAAGACATAGTTCGATGAATTCACTTGACGTGCTGTTCGAAGAAGACGTGCGAGACCAATTATTATCAGGAAATAAAATCTCCGAATAAGTTAATTTGTCTGGTGGGAAACAGGTCAAGAGCCCTGGAAATACTTCTGTGAAGCTCAGACACGAAAAGGTGGTCAGAGGACGGAGGGCGATTGCCTACTCCCATCAATAATTTTCCAGCTAAGGTAGGACAGGCGACCCAGACTATATCGAGGGGAATGTCAGTATCGACAAGGAAAGAATATATAATTCGTTTGATGGCTAACAGCACGCCGCCACCCCTTTTATGTGCTCGGTCATGGCGATAAATGGAGTACTGATTTGAAGCACGATATAGCTCAGTGTCGCATACGTCAGCATGAAGCAAGTCTCGGTTAGCAATAGAATATCTGATTTACTGTCCTCGAGATATGAATCAAGCAAGACACGTTTCGGTAACAAACTGCGAATATTAGTAAATGATACTGAAAGTGAAGGAGAACATGAAGTAGACGGCTGCTGAACATTAGCACTGCGTACATCGGCAACTAGCTATCTACCGGTTACTACGGTGTCAGAACAAGTGTCATAGATATATGTAGTATTACCGATACAAAGTTTGTAGACATTTAGTTGAAAAGGACAATTCCGTTCCCTAGCAAACTGAAGGAGTTTCCTGCGCGCTTGCCGTGTTGCTTGCGAAAAATCTTCTCTAATAGAGAAGCCAGTATTTTTCAGCCATGTGCACCGGCGAGGATTGCTTGTTTGTCCTTAAAACGTAAACTTAGCAATTATCGGCCTACATTTGTTTGAAGCAAATTTTCCCAGCGGGTGCACACGTTCATATTGAGAACTGGTAGTGGTGATCGCTAACTTGTCTGAGCATACGGCGATAATGTTATTTTCAGAAGTTTCCCAGCTTTCTTTGTCCTCATCGGGAATTCCAAAAAACAACAATTTGCACCGTGTGTGTGTGTGTGTGTGTGTGTGCGTGCGTGCGCGTGTGTGTGTGTGTGTCTCACAAGTGTGTGTGTGTGTGAGAGAGAGAGAGTGATAGACAGAAAGTAATAAGGAAGCTAAATGTGAAAACAATAGTCTTATCAATATTGTACAGGTAAGGTACAGTGTCATTCCACCTTCCCGATGCAAAGATGCACTTTCGTTACAGAAAAAAAAAGTTACCGTATTCTTTATTGCCCTTGCTTAGTTATATGCATGGTTATGAAGAGACATGGACGTTTTATTTTATCAATGTGGCTGACGATCAAGAGCACCGATGTTATCCTCTGAGGCATTAGTTGGTTGGTAAGAACTTTATTGGAAGTTCGGCAGAGCTTTCGCCGACCGGACCTTAGGTCTCCCGCGTGGGGACGTCAAGACCTTGCCTTACCGCCGCCTCGCGGACCTGCTGAACAGCCCAGAGTTGGTCACCGAGGCTGGGGTTGCACAGGGCAGCGGCAAACCGCGGCGGAAGGGTTCCGGATTTAGCACCTTGCGGATTTCTAGCACACTCCTAGAGCATGTGATTTAATGTGGCAACCTCACTAGGCATATTTTACATATATTCGTCGGATATATATTGAAGTACAGTCTGTTAAACAGCGATGGGTTGGAATATATGCGCGACTGCAGCTGTCGTAAAGACACCACCTGCATCCTGTTCAGCTTCTCGCTGGGTGGAGGAAAGGTTCGGTGGGCTAGGTTGAAAGCCTTGGTAATTTCATTATAAGTCGTCAAACGGTCTTTGGTGTTTTCCCATAGAGGACGGTCGCCAGCGTGGTTCACGAGCTCCCGCGCATTGGCGTGTGCCGTCTCGTTTAGGTTGCGGTGTGTCTCCGATACCTCTCTCTTGTGAGCCGGGAACCACAGGCGTCTGGTTGGAAGCTCTGTCTCTTGATAAAATTTTCTATTGCGCAGGACTTTGGCCGCTCGTTGCGAGATCCATCCTTCGGCGAAATTTCTTACTGCTTGTCCCGAATCACAGATAACAGTAGTGCATGACGGATCCGCTAGCGCGAGCGCCACCGCTACTTCCTCCGCTTCTTGTGCGTGGTGACATCGAGTACTTGCCGATATTCTCGTTTCGCCTTTCCAATCGACGACCATGACTGCAAATAGCGAGCGGTCTGCGTATTGAGTGGCGTCAACGAACCGCGTTCCCATTTCGTCGGCGTAAGTGCGCAAAAGAGCTTTTGACCTGGCGACTCTTCTGCCCGGGTTGTGTTCCGGGTGAACGTTGCGTGGAATTGGCTCAACCCTTATCGTTTGTCGGATCGCGTCTGGCGCAGCGACTTTCTGGCTTTGTTCGGTGTAGTAACAGATGCCCAGACTTTCCATGATCTGGCGTCCCGCTGTCGTGCCCGGTAGTCTTTCAAGTTGTGAAGTGCGCTGCGCCTCGGCTAGTTCGCTTAACGTGTTGTGAAGTCCAAGTTGAAGCAGCAGGTGCGTGCTGGTGGACTCGGGTAGACCCAGTGCCACCTTGCACGCTCTGCGGATAAGGACATTGATCTTGTCTTCTTCTGCCTTGCACCAGTTGTACCAGTCTGAGGCGTTACCCGTAGAATATTACTACGTTAAGCAGGATGGCTCTGAGACTTCCAATGGTTTCTCGATAAATCGAGCAGTTGCGCCAACACTTTTAATGAGATGAACCATGACACTTTGGCACTGGCACTGAGAAATCGGAGATCTTGGGTCATCAAGAAAGATGTGCTCATGTTTACTTCTGCAACCGTTGCCTTCAATGAGATCAAAAGGCTTTTTTTTTGCCAACACGTGGTGTCATTTGCTCACAGGTGGCTTTTTCGCAAAACTTCGCTGCCTCGTTATTGCCCTTATTCTGCTGTGTTGATAGGCGATGAAATTGTCTGGACCAACGCCTCCTTTATTTATTTCAATGTCTTTGCAAACGCACGATCCATTACGGAGGCTGTCAGTCAGCCTAACGTCAGGGAGTGGTCGTGATTCGACGTCACATGTAGGTAGGGCTGCTCACGTCACACCTGCAGCCGAGGTTTTTCCCTCGGCGATGTGATTGACGTTCTTCCTCCCCCCCCCATCATCACACGTCTGTCATGTTTGCTCCTTCCTGCTCTTTTTTTGTGGCTCAAAGCAATGCCGCCATCACCTCGCAGCACTCTCAAAGTGAGCACAGGCAGCAGCGTAGCAGTGATATGCTTCCCCTTTGCATGGCTTCCCGCATAGCAGCCGGAATGGCGATACGCTATCAGAAAACACCGTATCTCTTACGGAGCCAGTGCAACCGCAAACATGGTGAGCACGAGAAATCAAAGATGCCGCCCCACAGATCTGTTAAGCACCACATAATCGGTTACAATCCCCATGAAGCAAAGCACATGCGATAGCAGGGTGGTGGTCGAGAGCAGGAAACGGCTACAGGTGAGCGTAGTGAATGGCTGGAGCAGAAGCATCTGGATAGTATTCAAGAAATACAGGTGCTCTTAGAAGACATTCTATGACAGCGATACGAAAAAAATTGGCCCCGTATCTGCATGTAATCTGCAAATGTCGTCGAAAGACGATAGTCGTGTGGAGAGAGTGAACAAGACATTTATTTCAGGTTCTGCGCAAGAAAATCTGTGAATGGTAGTCTGAAGGCGCTGCTTTCGTGCAGTGAGGCGAACGAGCGCATGATGTCACGTCACATGTGAGACATAAGCGCCATCTGGCAGTTGTCTTAAAAAACAAAACGCGTGGCTCTGATACAGGTGTGCGCGCCCATCTCAGAGTTGATAAGGTGTAGAACGCAAGACGACGGGTAGGTGCCACCACCGTTTCGTTTCAGCAAAGCGTTAGAAACACTCGCCTTTCCGTGCAAGCGTCGCATGGTCAGCGCAGCGTGTTAAGTGCTACGGTCCTCAAAATTAGTTATGTATGCCTTTTATAGTAAGAGACGCACACGCAGAATTTATACGTGTTGTTATGGTGTCCCATACATGCGCAATAATCGATTTTTAATTGATAATTGCACAAGCATGAACGCTCAACCTTGAGCAACATAGCTGGGCGCAGCGGATGGGGTCGGACGTTTCAAATACCCCGTGCCATTAAGAGTGGACAAACAGACAATTGCACAGACAGACAGATAGCCCAAAATTTTTGCGTCGAAGGTTCCCAAGGAAGACTATCGTTCTTAAAAAAACGGCCATTCGCTCATGCACGTCTGATAACCCCACACTTCACACAGTGAGCTATAGGACTGAATTTTACGTGCCTTGTCCGCGACGATCCTAAACACTTAGTTCTACATGTCACTGCGGTCTGCTCGGTTGTCTCAAACAAGCCATCGCATATATGTCAACAAATGATTCCACAAGCTTTTTTTTTATTGATATGGATCAAGAAGTGTTTCATGTCTTGAGTAAAATGTGGTATGTGGAACCTTTATTCGATGCACGACTTCTGTACAAATCACAAAAGTCACATGCAGTGTAAAGAGCCGTCGAATTTCGCAGCACAGGTTAACAGAATCGCAAGAAATTGTAAATGAACATTAATCGAAAAGGGGACTTAGCGCAAGCACAATATGACATTTGCCTTTTTGTCTCAAGCGGTACTGGTATTCTCTACTTGAACAGTATTCATCAACCTGAATATACACCAAACGTTCCCACCAGGTCAAATGGTTGGGGCATTCTGGTTCATTAAAACCGATTTTCGAGCCTGATTATGTCTGTCAAGTGACGTCGTCACGATGCTGAAAAAAAGAGAAAAAAACACAAGTCAGTTACAGTCAGGACGCTATTGAATGCAGTATACTCCTTGAATAATGAATCAATTCCCCTAAAACCTATCAACAACCTGTTGCTTACTGGACGAAAATATTTGACTTGGACAATATATTTGAGAGCAATGTAATGGGCCAGATTCTTACAAAACAATGTACGCTGAAAATAGTAATAACTGCTTTGATGTATTCTCAAACAGTGGTGCCTGAAAAGTTCTGCGCAGATAAAGTGTTCAAAACGATTAACCACACTAAAACTATTGTCTTCCGCAACTGAAATTTCGCAGTCGAATCCAAATGAAGCGGTACCTTCACTTACACGATGAACATGTAAGACACAGGCCTGCACTTTCGAAAAATAGCTTTAGTGTTTTTTCAACACTTGAGATAGGCATATGAACTAAAACGTAGTAGCTCAAAAGTATGCCTTACGTACTGATATGGATGGTTAGGTGGAGAAGAAATGAAGTTTTCCGTGCAGCGCCTACACCGGACCAGATGAAATGTCACCGGATAAACCTCCGTGCTGCATCGTGCGCCTCGTTCAAGTCTCGATAAGTTCCACACCGAAACGAGTGCGGCTGAGTCCCCAAAATACGGAAGAGCACACGGCTGACTGCCAGAGAGCGCCCCGGCGGTGGTTCGTGGACAGCAACGCATGAAGGCTCACTCCAGACGCAGAAGAAGCTAGCCTTGTGTACCATCCATCCCACCTCGTCCGAAGTCATCAAACAGGTGCACGTGAAAGTTGGCGTCATCTTGGTCCAACATCCCGTTCCACGGCGCACAAAGGAATCCAGGACACCGCCAACAAGGCGGGCGTGGTCTCCTCTTTCCGGTATACGATAAAGTGTCCAAGGTTGTATCGCGCCCTGCTCCACCAAAAAACAGTATATGTGCGCTACAGTCTCCAGGTGCCTCCTCAGAGTGGGCATGTTTGTCACGTGTACGCGGATCTTTTCCAAAGCGTTTTGAATCGACTTGCCTCGAATCTTCGGAAGAGGGAGGCCGCGTTCGTCGTCCAGGCGCTGCAGTTGATCTTCTGGCAGGCCCAAAAGGTGCGAGCACAGCACACTCATGTACGCCATTGTGGTTTCAAGAGTTAAAGGTCCTTACGGCGAGTGCATGTGTCCGCAAATTATACAAATGTACTCGGCGAGACCTTATTGCAATGGAGGCCAAAACGTTGGTTGTATCGTTGAATCATTTCAAACGTTGACGGGAGCCACAGTGATGTCAGAGTGTAGCTCCGGTACACCTCGGCTTGTCGGGTGTCGGAAGCGAGGGTTCAGAATTACCTCGACAAGAAACTCGCTTGAGGGTGCGTGGCAGTGCATACACGCGCAGTCAGACGGGGTCTACTTGCTTGAGCGTATCTGGTGTAATGCCTTGCCCTGCTTCGCTTGAGCAGCTTTAATTCACACGCTATCTTGCCAGCTGGTCACGTGTGTCCTGATGCGCTTACGTGACTGAATGATTATTCAGAAAAAAGAAAGCAATATCGCGTGCTCAGGTTTTCAAATATTTCGAGAGAATGTGCACGAAGCGTTGGTAGTTGATAAATAATATCTCCTTCTGGTTTGGCACGTCTTTAACAATAAAAAAAAACTGCATGAATGATAATAATAATTTGTGCTTTAGCATTCCAAGACCATCATATGACTGTGAGAGACGCCGTAATGGAGGGTTCCGAAAATTTTGACCACCTGTGCTTCTTTAACATCCACCTAAATCTAAGTGCTCTGGCCTCAAGAATTTTCGGCTCCACCGATAATGCAGCCACCGCAACTTCGTAAATGATTTTCCTTCTGCTTCATATTATCATTCAAACATGCAGCGCACTCGTTCCCTAATGTGTTTTTGTGAAAATGGTATTTTCACGCGGATGACTCATTCTGATAAAAGCTTTACATGTGCAACCAACAGCGCTCATGTAAGTTGCAAAGACAAAAAGTTAAATGACGCGGTTAGAACGCAGATTACAATATGGACAGACGCAATCATAAGCTGAATGACTATTGAGTTTTTCTGCCTAAAGCCTAAACAAGCAGCCCCACTTGCAGAATAGTGATGCAAAATTGAGATAATAATGGGCATACACGAAGCCATAAAAAGGTGAACTTTCTTTAACGATCAGCATGTGTAAATTGGCACTAAGCAGTGAAAATCATTCGTGCAGTTCTTGAATTCAGCAATGCTGAAAAAAATCTGAGCTTACTTTTCTACCGCTCATTCCAACATTGTAACCTGCAAATTGATAGTACTATTTCAACTAAACATTGTTTATGTGAGTTGAGCCACCGTATTGAGCAATAGAAATAGGGGTATTAAAAGTGATCATTAATAATAGACTCTGCAGATTGTTTGAATCGTTTCACTTTTATACGCGCAGGTACTTTTAATTGCATCTGAAGAAACTTTCATAAGACTTCCCGGTTCGCAATAATGAAAATTATTCTATTTGGAGGCTTAATGTTAATTTTTGTAGGGAAACTTTGAAACTGATATTGCATTACGCTTTATTCGTCTGGAATGTCTGGTGAACAAATTAATCAAATGCAGTTCAAAGACATTATCCCTAACGACTTGTTGCTGAAGTTTTTTCACTTCATTATAATGGCAGCACAGCAAAGGGCTTGAAACAAAAGCACAGCTCTATGAAGAGAGGGGACGCCGACGTGCAATAGGAGAGCGAGCACAAGCAGGTCATAGAGAAATGTACTGAATAGTGGCCACTGACGCTTTTTCGTGACCCCGCATAAAAGGGTATGACCAACCGCACGGGTATGGCGTACCCGTGCTCGCTTTTACATAAAACCCCCCTAATCTAGGAAAGTTATAGCACCTAGAACTTCAAAAAGTAGCGACGTACGTGCTCGACCGCCCTCCTCCTCACTTCTCTCTTTCCCCCAACCACTCCGAGGTTGTCACCGCGTCGGCAACGGCCAATTGCTGTGACGTGGGACCACGGGAAGATTTCCTTATTTTTTACCATCGTCCGAGATGGCCATGTTTGCTCTGGGGTGCGGGAGCGTGGACGTGCTGGCGCGCAGCGCCTGTGCTTTTACCTGTGCTTCATGGATGCGTGCCTGAAATTAAACTTGCGTTGTGTTCGGAGATACTTAGTGCACAAAGCGAACCACAGTGTCGGTTGCCATGGGCAGCTGCTGCGCTCTCGGATGCCGCAACAATTCATGCGAAGGCAAAAAGTTGTTTATGATTCCGACCGGCCAGCGCAACAAGTTGCGAAGAAAGGCTTGGATATACCAAATCGGGATATTGGGAAATATTGGGTAATAATTGGCATACTTCCAGCTTCTGAGTCATTCATGAATGGCATGACGTGTCTTATTCTTTTCACCTCCAACACGGCAAGTGAACGCAATACGGGTGTCAGGTCGTATTGTGCCTTGTAGCAGACTCAAATTAATGTTTTTTGCGTGTGTTTATAGTAAGCTAGCATGAGTGAAATGATGTCGCAGTTTCAGCTTATCGAACGAAATCCAAGAAACGGTGCTGCATTTAGCGGGATAATCGAAGTCGCCACTCTTAAACTAGCATAATACCGCCAACAGCTATTGGCCGTGTGTTTCTTGCACTCTAAAAGCATTTAAAACCCTTCGTGTAGTGTTATTTGCTCCTCATGAATGACAGTCATCTGGCTAGATGGCGTTTCCTTTCGTGATAACTCGGCACTCACCACTTTTCCACCCAAGATGTCTTTTCCAAACTAATAGCACGCATCCAATTTACGACTTGCTAGTACCGCGCACCCGACGAAAATGGAAGGAAGCACACGTCATATCGATGGCTCTTTTGTGTCGGGATTGAAACATACCCCGAAATAGGCTTTTTTGTTTTGCAAGATTGTTAAAGAGCCCACACGAAAAAGCGAGTGGAGAGATCTTGTGGAAAAAAAGCGCATAAGTGAGCCAGATTCCCATCATTGTTTTGTGGGGAAAAGACGTCCCAAATACGCCTGTTGTCTTGCGGTATACAGTATAATACATGAAAAGGCTCGTAGAGTGGCATTAGTTATACTAAACCAAACCAATTCCTCAGGGGGGGTACCTCTCATGCAGACTAGTAAGTCCAGTGCGACATCGCCACTTCGTGAGAATGACGCTGACACTGTACGAGTTTCAGAAGGTCTCTTGCAGAGTGGAACGTAACTTCCTACATCATAGGTGTTTTTTTTTTCGCAATCAGCCACTGCAAGACTGACCTTACAAAATAGGCAAAGGTTGCGTATATAATTTTATACCATATGCGGCACGGCAGCGTTGTAATGATCCAGCGTTATCCTCAAGTATATAACGTTAGGATGAGTTATCAGAAAAGCAAAAAGTGCAGCTAATAAATTTGCATAAGGTATTGAAGAGAAAGAGTGTGCTCTACAAAAAGATACATGAACACTCCCTTTGTATTCTTTTATGTAGTTCTTTAGTTGCTGCGATTATGAAAAATTCTGTCTGCGAAGATGATTGTGTGGCGCTATATAAAAGCGCTAACATCTCCTGAACAACATACATTTTTATTGGCGCTACATTGACGGAATCATTTAAATAAAAAGGAAAAGTTCTGTTTACTATACGAAGGCTAGTAGTGTTCGACGCAGTGGACCGTGCGTTCAGCACGTCAAGCCAGGTGGTCGGCCGGGGGCCGCGCAGGTGGCGAATGCGAGCCTGTTGAAGGCCCGGAAAAGTTCCAAACAGGTGATAGAACTTTGCCTGTGTGGCTGAGGCAACGCAGAATGGGCATGTCGTTGGGGAAGGCTGTGCACTGGGTGTCCATGTAGCCCGGATTGCAGGCATCAAGGCCACGCCCACACGAATCCTCCTGAACACAACCTCCTCTCGGCGAGTTAAGCCACAGGGAAGGTCTGATCCACGAGGAGGAATGAGTGCACGCATGGAGCGCCGGAGAGTTTTTTTTTGTGCACAAGCAACCTGTCCTTCGGGGACGAACAAAGTAGAGGCAGCAAGTGTTGAAGAGCCGTTGGATGGAAGCGGTATCTACTTCCAACTGAGCCGGTGCAGACCGGCAGGTCCACAATACGTGGGCAGGGCAGGCGCATGAGGGAATCAGTTCGTGTATATCAGAGGCTATATCGAGGGAGCTGGTCATTATTCGCAGCTCTCGAACTGCCTGCGTAAAGTCCGTATATCAAAGCTATTTATCGTGTAACAAAGAATCAATGTTGAATATGATTGCTGTGAATCCATCCCATATTACAGTGAGCTCCGCTAATACTGATGGGAATGGTGCCTCTGTTACGTAAGAACATATATGTTGAGTTTCAGGTAGCCTGGGGCATACTAGACTGGCGTGCAGAATGCAGTTATCGATAACTGCGTCTACGTATACCGCTAGTGAGTTCTCGATGGTAGTGACGACGCCCTCCTGCGCCACTTGTCGGGTAGAATGTCGCAGGCTGGTAAGTGGTCTGTTATCGCTAGTGTGTGCCTTGAGCCATGGAAAACTTCTGCCAAGGGTGCGTCAGGCTGTGGCAACATTATTATTATTGCACATGTACACTTAACTTGTACAAGCGCAAACAAAACATCGAAAATAATTAAGGAGAATGTATACATCTTACAAATGAGCACCAAAATTTAATTGACCACTGGGTGCTGTTGTCAAATACGAAGGAGACGCGGCGCAAAGCGCTTTATCCCAGAGCCTCACGTAACTCATCAACCAATCATCATCCATATGTCTGTCCTGGCACTTCCCCACAAGGTCGGGTGAGGGGGAGGCTTTGTTTTGGGCTGACAGCCATACCCTGGCAAGAGGACCACCTCTCGGCGCCAGGCGCCTAACAAACGCGGCCTGCCTCCAGGCGTAAAGCCAGGGAGATCCAACAAACAGACTACCTTTTGGCGCAGCAGGTACGGTCATGACACACAAAGCGAACATGCCCTGGCAAGGTTGGCTATCGCAGCACGTGGGGCGTAACTCGGTCATGACCCGCCATCTGACTGCTAGGGCCAAGAGAGGCTCAACGAAGGGGCTACCCTTTGGCATGGTGACTTCAGTCACCACGCGCACAGCGGACGTACCCGGACTCTCGACTAAGGGACTACCCTTCGGCACACCGACTTTCGGCACCGCACCCGAAGCGGACGTACCCAAGCACATGACAACGGGACTGCCCTTCGGCGCAGTAAATTCATTCACGGTACTCAAGGTGCACATGCCCTCACCCTGTCGCGCGCCTCGGGGCCTGCGACGTCCCCTAAGGACGGATGGACTATCGCTCGGCGCAAGGCACTTTGCGGTCACGACCCGTCTCCTTACCACTAGGGCGCGGTGAGACACAATCCGTCCCTTAGGGACAACGCGTACGGGACAACTGT